TCTGTTTACATCCCGTCTGCGCTGGCTTCGGCGGAGCGCTCGGTGCGACGGGGTCTGCTCCACCGTCGCTGGCGGACCTGCGGATCCAGGGCTGCGAAACACAAGCTGGCGAATTCGACAGGTGCAGACCAGCGCCCGTGTCTCGGCATCGAAACTTAAAACGCTCCTTTTGTTTTGTTGTTTTTTTTTTTTTTATTTTATCCCCTTTAACGCATCGGAAGACTGGAACCACTCGATGCACTGAAAGGGAACATTTTCCTGTTGCAGGAAAACTGGACAAAGTGCTTGGGAATGTTAAATGTCTCTGAGCTTTGATCCGTTTAGCCCTGGAAGTGGTTTCAGCTTGGCTGAATTCAGAAGGGGAGGTGGGAGAGTGGGGATGGACTGATGGACAGGAGAGACCTGACCTCTCTCTCCCCTGTGCGCTGCAGGGACGTGACACAGGGTTTTGTTAAGTTACGCAAGGTAACATTCACCTTGCTAGCCACCTACAGTGGCTGGCACTGTACGACAGACAACTACGTGCAAACTGTGCTGCGCTTAAATAAAAACAGCCTGGAGAGGAATAACTAATGGAAGCGTCTGCCCTGGCAGCCATCTTGCTGTGAGCAGCGCAGGGCGCTCTTAACTTGGCGTGTTACCTGTGGTAGTTGGGTAAAAACATGTTACTGATAGCTGCCTGGGGTGGCGGGGGGAAGGATGCATTCTTCTGTTGGTTTTCTGCTGATAATACTGGAACTAGGTTTTATTTAAAACGTCAGCACTAAGAACAAAGTTAAATCTAATTCCTCATGTCTAGCCTTTTTCTTTCCCTCTGTGCAGATGAAATAAAACACTTCTGGTGGGACTGATGTCCTGGCAAGCGTGACAGGGGAACATATTTTTACAGACTCTTCCCCCTTAAGGTTATAATTAAAATTAACAAAATGTATGTATCTGGAAAACATTCATTTTCAGCAACATCTATACGATTATAGCAAGAACAGCATAAGCAGCAGACTAGAGATGACGAGTGGCTGGTGCTGTTGTAAAGAAGTAACCGACCAGTGCAGGGAGAGTGGTCGTTTGTCAGTAAGCTTCAGGAAAAAGCCTGCGTTGGCCTGAAGCCGGTCTGCTCTACCTGTTCAGCGTGATGTCTTGCTGTACGTTGCACTGCAGAAAGAACACGTGATTAGAAGAGGAAGAAACTGAGCTATGACAAAACTTTAAGGTATTTTGTTAAGGGATTGCAAAACTTTAAATTCTACAGAACTGCAGGTGACTGTTTAAAAACAATTTGAAAGGAGTCCAGCCTTCCCCTAACGAGCGTTTGCAATCAGTAATGTGCAGCCAGGGATCATAGAATCACAGACTGGTTTGGGCTGGAAGGGACCTTAAGGATCATCTAGTTCCAACCCTCCTGCCATGGGCAGGGACACCTTCCACTAGACCAGGTTGCTCCAAGCCTCATCCAGCCTGGCCTTGAAGACATCCAGGGATGGGGCATCCACCTTCTCTGGGCAACCTGTCCCAGTGCCTCCCCACCCTCTCCGGGAAGAACTTCTTCCTGATATCTAATCTAAACCTCCCCACTTTCAATTTAAACCCGTTACCCCTTGTCCTGTCATTACAGGCCCTTGTAAAAAGTCCCCCCCCAGCTTCCTTGTAGCCCCTTCAGGCACTGGAAGGAGCTGGAAGGTCTCCCCAGAGCCTCCTCTTCTTGCATAAGTATTTTAGGCTTTTTAAAAAAATACTTATGCTAGGAAATGTATTAAAATTAACATTTTTGTGAAAGTGTTTCTCTTATATTTGCTGAGTCTGTAATGCTGTAAGTCAGGTTGTAGAATTAACTTCTCTATTCAGTGTTTTAATGATTCCGGGTTTCACTTAAGCCCGATTTTTTTTTTTTTTTTTTAATGTAGAATTTATGTCAGTAACTGTGCTTACTCCATTCTTCAGTCTGTAAAGAAAGGTATCTGTAAGGCAAGCTCATTTCACTTGCCCTATGTTCGGCCTACCTTGTGCCTGCTAAAACCTGCACTTAATTGTACACCTCTTCCTTTTAAAGCAGAAATGATCTTGCAGAAATGTCTGAATTCTATCGTTTGTAAAACAGAATTTAGCCCTCTACGTATAAGGTCTGTGAGAAACGTTCCTCTTGCCTGGCAGGCTTGTGTTGGAAGCATCCACAGCCCTTGGATTCTTGCTTTTTTGTTTCTTCTTAGTAGTTTATATCCTTTTTAATGCATGGAATTGTGAAGAGGCTCAAACAGGTTTCATGTAATATCGTCATGTGCTATGTTTTATTACATCCTCCTGTTCTCTATTTTGGACTCAGAAAAGCAAATTGCAGTACATCCTTTCTTCACACACATCAGCAGTTGGAGGGCAGTGGTGTTTGTTTGGACTTATTTTTCGTTCTTTCATCTTAATGTACCAGATAATAAGAGTTACTTTTTTTGGACGCTTACAAACCTCTTGTCCTTCCAGACTGCGGTGGTTCATTACAAAAGGGTTTGCAGTGAGTCAGTTGCCAACCTGAATCCCTCCTCCACCCTTGCTGTACTTGATCTCTGTGCTGCCACTTGTGCCTCTGGAAAATAAAGGGATGCTTTAGAAATCAATCTACCCATTTCTGGTGCTGTTCAGCACGGTTCCCATTTGCTTTGCCATGTGCTCGCATTGTTTTCTGACTCATCAGGCTTTAAACACTTTGTTCTAATCTTCCAACAGAAGGGGCTGAAGGTCTTTTGTTAATAGAATGGTTACCATCACCACAGGGGGTATGTTGAGACCTTAAAACGAGGGGAAAAGAGGAAAAGCAGTAAGAACTCTGCAGAAAGATGCAGTCCTTCCTTGAAAGCTGTCAGGCTGGGTGTGTCTGTAACCCGTCCCTAGGTCAGATCTGGCTCATCTGACATTTCTTGATTTTACAAACACAGTTTTGTATAGGGAGTTTGTTTATTTTGGGGTTTTGCCATAGAGTGTGCATCTTAGGCCACGGTTCTCCTTCAGACATAGAAGTGGAAGGGTAACATTTCCCTTACTACCAGGCGTCTTTATCTAGCAGCTTCACCACTTCCGTTTGTGCGTATGTATTTGGTAGTGCACCAGTGGCCTCCAAAAGGAAGTTACCATTTCAGACCCTCTCAGCGTACAGGAGGTGTTTTGTTAGCTTTGTATTTTCAGCCCTGAAGGCGTAGATAGTCTTATCTCAGCCCCCTGAGTTCAGGGACTGTCACTGCTGCACATGAAAGCCTGTAGGATACGGGTAGGCACGTAGGGTAGGCACGTAGGCCATGCGTGTGCCCCTTTGGTTTAGGAACAAAGCGTGCTAGGAGATGAGGAGTGTGGCTATGAGATACCCTCGTAGCAGCAAACACGTAAATATTGGAACCCTAGTAGCTGAAACTGATGTTTCCTATTGATGTTATGATTTGTAGCTCAGCATTGACCACGTAAGAGAACTTAAGTTGCACCCTTCCAGTTAACATAAGTCACTAGTCACAGCTTCCACTGGCATTATCTGTCAGCAGCTAAATGCAGTGAGGTGTTGAGATTTGTATTGCTTCATGTAAAAAATTGTAAATTGTATGAAAACACTCTCAAGAAGGAAATGTTTTAATATCTTTGTTTATTCAAGCACTTTCATGTGACTGCTTATCACTGATAATGCAAATTACATGAAGTTGTTAAGTGATTTTCGGTACGAAATCTTTAAAACATTAACAGTGCTCGTGTTCCTGCTGTTTAACAGTGTGTGGGTGCTTTTTCTTGTTTTATATAATATATTGATTAAATGGCGTCAGGTACTTTCGAAGTGGTCTGCAAGGAGGGCCCTCTTACTAATTATTTTCCTGCTACGTGTCGTGGAGCGGGGTGTGTCACCATGAGTGATTTGTCCCCTGAAAATTGTTACCACGACCAGCTGCAGAGGTACTACCGGATTTATTGCATTTCTGTAGGGTTTAGTAATAGTTATTACTGGCTGTTGTAAGAAGAAAAGCCATACTGTTATGACCTTACAGTAAGCTGACAATATCTTAATGCAATAAACATGTGTGAGATCCCAAAATAACAGTGAAATAGAAGAAAGACGTGGATAAAAGTTCATGTCTCGACCTGGACCGATTACTGTTCTTTCTCCTCTTGGTGGCTGAAGCCAGAGTTGTAAAACTCTGTCATGTGTTAGTGCTTCGGTGGCGTAGTCCCGTGTGGGTCTCTGCTTCCAGCAGCAGGTGTGTCCCGGATGAGGAGGAGTGTTTTCAGTGAGCTCCGAGATTCTGTGGAAGGAAACGCACTGGCCGTTTTCAGGTTCTTCAGTTAAAAGTCTGCAAACTTGTGGGCACGAGTAGTGTGTGGGATCTCATTGTGATGAGCTTTGGGCCTAAACTGAGGTGAAAGGGAGGTCTGTATGCTGGCTTCTGTTTGTGCTCAGTATATTGACAGTTTTGTTACGTTTGTCGTAATAGAAACAGCTTCCTGACATTCCACATTTACAGATCTTAATGTTTAAACTTCACTTTTTCAGAAATCAGTGCTAGGTTCGTATATTAGAATTTACCTTTTACAGTTCGTGGTAAAGTTGAAGCTCGTTATTTTCCATCTTCTGGGTAGTTTTACTAGGCCAAGAACATACTCGATAGACGTTGTCCTGTCACGTGGCACAGCATTTTCTACAACAGGTACTTGATGACTCACTAAACTAGATCTGTGCAGCTGCTTAATAAAAGCAGGCTCTGTTGGATAATGGTTCTGTGCAGGCATTCTCCCCTCCCCCAGTTGTTGCAAGAAATGCATCAAAACGCTGTCAGAATATTCCATAATAGTACACCAGGGGCATAAATAGTGTAAAAGCTGTACCCTGGCAACTGCTGGGGAATTTCATGTGAGGAAACGCGTATTCTGGCCCTTCTGAAAGGAAAGAAGGGCAAGACACCTGGAAAACGGTAATTTGAAACATCACTAATATTTTAGCACTGCCTTTTCTTGGGTCTGGAAGTACTGCAGGGGAAATAAATTAAATGTCGCTGTTAATGTCATGGGGAGTTACGAGGGGGAAAGAAGTGCACTTTTTTCCACTTGCATCCATTTTCAGTCATTAGTCCTGCAGTAAGAAGCAAAAAATCATCATGTACCCTGTCTGTTTATGGAAATAGGGACCTATAAATAGTTGCTGGCAGAAGTTTAGTAAAGCAAGAAAAGAGGAAGGAGGGGCTGTGTTCCAATCCAAGGAATTAAAGGAAACTGATGATAGTTAATAGCAGTGTTTGAGCTTGGAGCAAAGCTTGGTCACAGTTTCAGCACAGAAGCTTTTTGAATTGCTTCGAAGACAGCGTCGGAAAGCAAACGTGCAGTTTGAATTGGTGTCTTTTACTGAATTCCTTGAGTGAAGGTGTGACTCCTGCACTGGTTCCCAGTTCCCTGTTTGCTCTTCTCAGAACAAGGCACTAAAAATTTTTTTAAAATCTGGGGGAGGGGCGTGGTTCTTAGCTTGCTTTTAATTTTTAACATTGTTCCCTCTATTCAGTCTCTGATAAATTATTGAAGCTGAAATTCTGAGTTCCTAAAAAGAATGGGCTTAAGCCACGGTCTTGACCTACTGGGTTGTCATTATAAAGCCAAATGTTTCAGCGTTCTGGACAATAGCGACAACATTTGACACTGTAACTTTGGAGACCACCAGAAAACAATCTCTTTACAGTCCTGTTTTTCAACAAATACCTTGTAGTGATTCTTAGTATTACTGGAGGATTTATTGAGGTTCAAGTAGGTGTATTTAGGTTAATGGGAACCCTTTGGCATCACCCCTAAGGACAAGCTGGTTCCTGCCTTTTTTTTAATTATAATTACTAAACAAGTAGCTGTTCATAAGAATGGAATGAAGCTATCCCTGGCTTACCCAGGAGTTCTACATACCCGCCCCACTCCTGTAGAGGTAATTACATGTTATGTTTTTCAGTCCACTTGAGAGAAGTGCCAGGCACACACGTTTACTGCGCTAATGAAGTTACACTAGAGGTAGTTTTAGCAACATGGTGAGGGGAATAATATCGTTAGCACAGCAGCTTTAGCAGAACACTTCAATATTGGTCAGTTGGTGTTGGAACTTATTTTTTTACATCAAGACAAAACCATCTTTGCCTATACTGTATTGTCCAAGAGTGAATGCAGAACACAAGTACAAAAGAAATATCCAAAATGCTACGTACCATAATTCTAAGAAAAGTTAATATAAAATCTAGGTGCTCCTTTAGAAATGGTGTGTGAATTTTGATTGTAACTGCGGGGAAACGTGCATGTTGGGACACTTGGTAGTTTAACAACTGTTTAGTTGTGATTTGACTGATTGCTAAGAGTTTTTAAAATGCAGTATGTGTTCTTCAACACTTTGGTGTTTGAAAGTCCTTCCAATCTAACTGTCTTTTCCTTCTCCCTTCTTTTCTGTCTTTCAGCAAACGAGGATTCAGTGTCCGATCCTTTGGAACAGGGACTCATGTGAAACTGCCGGGACCAGCACCGGACAAGCCGAATGTTTATGACTTCAAAACTACATATGATCAGATGTACAATGATCTGCTTAGGAAAGACAAAGAACTGTATCCCTGTGGCATGGCCTTTTTAAAAAATCCAATATGGTTCATCCTTCAAAGGTGTAATTAATTATTTGGCATTAGGGATATATAGTTGCTTGACTGGCGAACTTAAAATGTTTTAAGTTTATAGGAGGTTTTTTACAATGGGCCTCTAATGCTCCCTTGCAAAATGCTATTGAGTTACAATGCACACATTCAAAATGTTCTTTTGTAGTGTGTTAACATGTTTAGCTCTTGCATGAAAGCACATTAATATTATCACAGATTGTCCGTTACCTCCGCTGCACTGTGGATCATACTTTACAGTGCAAAGACTGTCCTGATAATGGAAACTCGAAGAGCGGCCACCTCGGCATTAATGTTGTATTTAGCTCAGACTGACAGGTAAGGTTTACAATATGCTTTCTCTGGGAGAGAGGATACCTTTCATTAAAGAGCTCACCCTTCTCACTGAGAATTTCTCAATATGTGATTGGATCTGTGCACTGGAAAAAAAAAACCAACCAAACCCCAGTCCTATAGTATATTACAGAGAATGGACATAGAGCCCGATAATATATTTAATCCTGGAGAGCAGAGGTGATCAAGGTTATGCACACTAATTAAAACCACAACTAATGCAGGATTTTAGCACATCTGTATTGAAAGTTGATTTTTCGCTTGTTTTTAAGAAAACCCACAAACTACAAAATTGGGGCACTCTTTCTAGATACTCTTTTCTCAACAAGGGGTCTGATTTTTTTTTTTTTAATGTGCAAGAGAACACTTATTTAGAATAAGGGATTCAGTATGTGCTGAATTTTTACTTAGGACCCTTTTGAGTGAAGTATTCCGCAAATAAATCTTGGTAACTTACTAGTGCAGCCTTTGGACTTTTTAGTGGTACAGGGTTTTGTGGGTGGGTTTTTTTTCCTAAAATCTGGGGTATGGCCATCTGGAGATCCAACAGGAATGTTAACATGGTTTAACCCTCTTTAATTATACTAAACCAGACTGTTTTTCTTGCATCTTTTTTTAAAAAAAATTGACTAAGACTAAACAGGCAGTCAGAGACTAGAACATTTGGAACGTGGTAGAAACTAGTTCAAGCTGTTGCCTAAGGAGTCAGCAAACTTGGTAACTCTTTGAAAGCTAGCTCTGCAGTTGTTTGGTAGCACAGATTATGCTGTGGCTTACTACTTCTCAGCAAATTCTTTGCTGTATTTCCTGCCCAGAAATAGTAAATTGGAGTTCCCTGAGACCCCAAGAGTGGACGTTAAGAAGGGCTGGGCTGTTTGATTAAAGCTGTAGAGCACAGCGAGAACTGATTGAACACTGGAATACCATTCTGCATGGTGTTCCACACAACCAGTATCCCTTACAGAGATACTGGTTTCCTAATACGTAGTTAGAGGTCCTTTTTAAAATTAAAAAAACCAACCAGAACTCAAAAAATAGGATGTAGTCTTAATGAACCATGTGTGATGCACTGGCAGGGTTTTTTTTGTATTTTTGCCTTTTCTAGAGAAAAGGAGTATCTTGCAAACTCTTTTTAACCCATGAGGTGTGCCGTATCTTGAAATATTTGAGTTGAGATACGACCTTACCAAGCGCTGACAACCTGTGATGTCCTTGTTGCATTCTTCACAGCTGCTGCACTGACTATGGCAGTGCTTTAAGATAAAACCAACAGAAGGCCTACCTAGTCGTCCCCCCCCCCCCCCTTCAGCATACTTTGGAGTTACCATTTTGGTTCTGCTCCTTGCTGGAGGTGGCTGCTGTGTTCCCCAGATGCATTTGCAGTGTTAGTTAAACCTTTTCTCAAGATAAAAGAAAGCAATAAGCATTGCAAGGGAAATGGGACAAGAACAATTGCCTCGTTTTATCTTTGCATTTTTGATTCTCTGATAATAAGTTTTTCAGAGTCAAGACTGTCGACTGCAGAAAACAGCTGTTTCCAGAAATGGGTTTTGAGGGTAAAGACTTGGGGTAACCAAACCCCAGACATACTCTTGTCCAAATTGTGGAGTAGGAGACCCTGTGATGCAGGGTCATATGGGCTTTCAGGTTTTTGCGTGAGCGTTACTTCGCAGAATCAGGGGCATAGATGGGCAAGCAAACATGACCTGCTGAGGGAGGGGAGGGCCTGCGCTTCTCATGGGCTTTGGGTGCAATTGATGTGGGAAAACAAAAGGTGATGTGACTCTTCATATGACCTAGCTGCTTGTTCTGTTCCCCAGCCTTGCTTTCATCAGCTAAGTGGAGACGACTGTCATCTGTAGCCTTTCCATGTGGTTTGAAGTGGTGTATCCTGGTGACAACTATCCGCTTGTTCCCATATTCCAGTGATGGGACACGTGAAGTTTGAGTGCTCAGCATTCAGTAATGCCTCACTTAGGAGTGATGTCCTTCCTCCAGTTCCATATGCCAGCATGGGTCCAAAGTGTAATGGACCTGAGATTCTCAGTGAAGTTGTGGCTCTAAGGGACATGGAACATTTCCTGGCCAGCCAAGGTCTCAAGCGGAAATGAGCTGCTGCAGTGTTGGGCATCAGGCAGAGCAAGGTTAAAAATGTGTTAGTGAAAAGATCCATTGAAACTCTCTCACTTGAGAGAGGACTATCAAAACCCTACTCTGCAGAGACTAAAAGCACCTTCATTGCAGTTAATTAGTGAAACACAGAGCACAAGCTCACATACCCTGAAGGCCTGTGTTGAATTTTGGCAGCCCAGGAATAAGGGGCTAATGGAGCCAGACACAGATTCAGCTGGGTAGGTGGTTATAGTATATCTAAAATGAAAGTACTTCAAAGAGTTTTAAGATGTGGTAGTTAAACCTTGTAATTTACATAGGTATCCACATCTGCTGTTGTATTTTTAGAATATCATATTTAAATTTCCTGAGTCCTAATAGAGGGCTGAAACACCACCATTTAAGGCTCTTCTGAATGTGGCTTTTGGTTGCTTTTTATAATACTACTCTGTTCTATCCGTGACAACAGTAGAGGGTTCCACTACTAACCCGGAGGAGACATGACCAGTGTGTGTGGCACCTCCGTGAGGTACACACACCACCTTGCTGTGTTTGCCTGTGTACTGGACCTCAAAGATAGGCCACTGTGATTACTTGCCCCTTACAGCTGTGTGAAGGGATTTAAGGACTTAGTTCTCGTTACATGATGGTGTCTTTAAAGACTGGTGGGCCTTGCCAAAAATAGTCAGGGATGAAACTTTGTAAACACCAGCATAAATTTCCAACCACAGCTGGTTTTACGCCCAGGGATAGGAACTGTTCAAATGGACACTTGACCAGGATTCTGCAGCAGTAGCTCCCGGGTTCTTTATCAGTATTGACTAACCTGTGACTGACTGCTGCTTGCTCAACACTCGTGTACCTGTTACCGTCAGGTGGAAGATACCTAATGATTTCACTTCCATAGATAAGGCTTTGACTAGGATTTCTAGGCAGCCTACCTCTCTTCTGCAAGGTTGGCCTACTGATCTCTTTCCTACTGGTTTTTGCCTTCTAATGTCACCTGCTCTCACTGACGTAGGAGTCCAGTTTTAGCTCCCTAGTTACATGGGGAGGGGAGGAGGATTGGGACTAGCTGAGAAGGGGCATCCAGAAACAGGCTGTATTGAGGGATAACTTCTGTCTTTATAGAGTGGAGAATCCTTCAGTGCTGAAGACATCACTGCAGTTAGACTTTTCATGCAGAAAAACTGCATTTTCTGTCTTGGAGTCAAGCTTCTTGTCAGTCAGGTTAGCTTCTTGAGACAGTGTGATTTGAATATTGGGGTGTGTTGCTGAGTTCTGCTCATGGCAAGAAATAGAATTACTTGTTGGACCGAGGTCAGGCTATCCTACAGGTCAATAGGAAGTCATTATGTATTATGAAGGGTGGAATCAAAAAGAGACTAATCTTTAAATCTGGGACTAAAACTGAAAAAGAATTGTCATAACACCCCTCCTAATAAACTGGAATCCTGGAAGTGTGTAGCTAGTCCAGGCTTACGGTTACTGCACTGTCCCACTTAGGTGTAGCATATATTCTGAGGAATGCAGCGTCTGCTTGTTACACCCATGGTCTTAGTCATTCAGAATTCCTGGTTCATGGTGTCTGGTTCTCAGGAATTCTTGCTCCTGAACTGATCAGTTTGCTCTAATTAACACTGGAGAAAACTCACATGGAGAAGCCAGTTCTTTATTCTGTTTTCTTAGCCTGGCAAGTAAGGGAACAGATAAACGGGTTTCAGTTTTTGGTACAATTCTTCTAGAGCGTAAACCAGAATCTTTTTCTGCACTTCAGGATTCTTAAATTGTTTGGTTATGTAAGACCTTCCTGCCACTGGGCTTAGGCTTTCATTTTCTTGAGAGGGGTGTAGCACTGAATCTTGGATCTTGCTGCTTAGTTGTGTTTCCCCACGTCGAAGGAGCGGCATAGGATACTGATACACGGATGACTCCTGGCCCCAGCTGATCACTGCACAGGCCTTGATTGAGAAAAGCTGTTGGAAGAAGAGTTGGCAGTGACAGGAATATCTTGCTCTAAACCACTTCCCAGTTTCCTTTGAATAACATTTGTTGCAGAAACTTCTGCCACCTGTAACAGAGCTGTAGGATCTGTAATACTCGAGTAGTAATTCCTGGCATTTCGAGGCCAGTGAGCTGCCCTAACACGTGGAGCAGTTTACTGGGCCGCTTTACTGGAGACTGTACAAAGCAACCTGGAGTTGCTTAACTGGGGGGGGGCGAAGTTACCGCAGCATGGGTGGGTGCAGAGGACTAGGGAGATCTGCAATTTTCACTGCGTTTTCTTCATGGATTTTGAACCGGGTAACAGTTGTCAGCTTCTGTTCTGAGCTGTCATTCCACTGGTGGTTTTTTGTTTTGTTTTTAAGGTGTGTTTGGGTTTTTTTTGTTGTTTGTATTTAGATTTTTTTGAAGCCTGACCTTGCAAAAGCTAAAAATGGTTTAAATTATCGCCTGCTGCATGTCAGTGGCAAAGCAGCTTTTGAATCCAG